TAAGGGATATTGTTTTTTACCATTAGAAATGGATAAATAATAATGTGAAAGGATTTATCGATATCTCCATTCATAAGGAAAAATTGAACTTGAAAAAAGGATTTCTCTTGAAATAAAATATAGTTATCGTATTGATTTAGATATTGAATTCGTATATATTCTGGTTTGTTTAATTTCCGTTTAAACTAAAAAGGATTTCTCTTTGTGGTGAATATCGGTTAAGGTATCGAATAATTCATTGAATAGATGTCGCTTTCGGGTTTTCCATTTCTCCTTAATGTGTTGCTTTTGTTGGGGTAAACCATTTCTCCTTAAAGTGGAACAGTTTCTCGATCGATCTCTCCTATGGTCCACTGCTGGGAATATGTTTGATAACATTTTTTGCATGATGCAATGTTTTTTTAATATTATTTTTTATATCTATCTGGACCTAATATATTAGCTGGCGATCCAAAGAATTTCCAGTAAGATGTAGATGTATTTTTATCAACAACAGTGCTATTTTATAATTCCGATATAGTTCGTCAATATTCTTTGTTCAAAACTATACGAAAAAAACAATGCTATATTTGTTAAGATAAAGAATAATACTCTTTGTAGTATATGTTTCGAAAATATTTGATCCATTATTCATAAGAATATTTATCAATTGTGCAGATAAAGATATAGATAAGGGTGATGGAATATCAGCTGAAATTGAAGAACATTCAGAAGAATTCATCACTGAATCATAATTTATTTTATGTTAAATTAATCGAAAAAGAAAAATAATAGGTTTAAAACGATGTTAAAATGAAAGTGAATGAAATGAAAAATGACTATTAATTCTAACACAAAAATAAAACAATGCCTTTCTTTTATTTTCCTATGTGTAATTACTAATTCGTTCAAGTAGCAAGTCTATCAGAAGAGTGTACAAAAATTAGTTTGTTAGAAAAAACATCTATTACATCCTAACATAACTGCCATTGTGATCATAGTCTTTTTCGTTAGATAGAAATATATAGTACGATAAAACATTAAAATTAGATCAGTAAAATATATTTGAATTAACAAATATCGAATCGAACTGATGTTATAGCTGTTAGACAAGACACATCAATTGTACACTCGAAAGGCAAAAGAATATATTTTATCTTCATCTAGGTATGAATTTTTTTTCTAAACATGCTCAACAACTAATAAATTCGATGTTTCAAGTGAACGATATCCATGTGGTGGGTGCCTTTCCACATTCAAACTATAAAGCAATGAGATTTGCTGTATTGACTCACATTATTGCCACCAAATATGTCGAAATGCTACTGCACCTGATGACATTGATAGTATTCAAGATGAAGACTCACCAGCTTCTGAACCTAAGCAAACACGACAAAACTTATTTGTGGAATCTTTGATGGCTTATAATGTATAAGCAAAAAGAAAGAAATTGAAGCAAAAAAAGATAAAGTTGACAACTACACCGAGTTTGATTATCAGGTTAAAGTATTTCTTGATCCACTGCATGTTTCGTTGAAAAGAAAACAAATCTATTTTTCCATTCCATATAGTTCCACAGCAGCAGAACAAGAGTTTCGTACTGCAGGACGGATTGTCTCACAATCACGATCTACAATCGAACTGTCAACAGTTAATAATATATTGTTTCTAAGATCAATTGAAAATAACAGAATAAAGCTGCCAACTGTGAAAAACATTCTTTACTAACTCTTTTTCTGTTATTGATATTTCTTATTGGCCTATTAAGAAATTAAATTGTGTCAAATAAATTAATCAAAACATTGCAAATATTACAAAACCAAATTAAATTTTTAATAAAGACGATATTCTGAGAATTAGTGTCTATATCATCTAAAAAGCACCGAGGCGAGGTAGTAAACTATTGCTTCGTTTCGCTCTCTGTACCCTTCACTTTTGTATCAATTGAATTTTATATTGATCAGAATAAATCTAAATTAGACATGTTATTTAAATAAACATAACTAATGATTAAATTCACGTCCAAGTTAGTTTTAATTAGGTTTTCAAAATTAAAAACTTAAATTCGAGAGTATAGTTTCTGGTTCAAATGCTTTAAGTGTTATGCCCATTTGAATATATTCGTGATTGAAATCAATAATTTCACCATAGAATAAAGCTTTCATTCGATGTAGGTCATCACATATTGTTTGTCCATTGAATTAAATATGATCTAAATTACATGGTAATCAATATGCTTGTTGTGCTTTTCCTCAAGTCAATGTTTGCTTCATTTTTGTTTATAGTTTTGATTTAAATAATCTTTATAAGGTGTATATTTTGATGATGATCAATATTGTTGTCCAAATGGCAGAAAATATAATTGGAACTCTGGCAGATACAGTAAAATATAAGCCTTCGTAGTAAATTTTTCTCATTTCTCAAAAATAAAATTCTTAGCCTTTTAATATATGGTTGAGTAGAATTAAAAAAATGAATTTTTTTTCGGTTCAATGAAAGTAAATTTCTGTTTCAGAAAATGAAGTATAAATTTTGTAAATTATAACAGTGACATATATTAATTAAAAGTTATTTCATAGAAGCACATTTATGGATTGAAAAATTAATGCAAGAGATAATTGAGAAAAATGACGATCTGTTAATATGCTTCTCTCAATCTTATATTAATTATTTCGTAATAATTGAAACGAAAATCAAATCTTATTCATAGTTTCTTTAAATTTTCTGCTATTTTTTTAAAAATTAAAGTAGCTTTCATTGTGAAAGTTGCTACAATTCTAATTAGGCTAAATTTCTATCTGAAATATAATCATTTGCATAGTTTCTTTCGCAGAATAACTATAAACCTTAGACACTAACATAGATGGTAGGAGTATGGTTGTGAGTATCTCTTCTCTTAATTCACACCGACACCCTCCGGAACATATCAGATTTCACTCAATGCTTTATTGTAACTATCAGTCCAAATAATGAAAGTTCTTAATTCGATTGACCGTTAACAGATTATTTCATCAAAATTATTACTCTTTACTACTTTAATTCCTAAAGCTTATTATGCTTTGAAGGGTGGGTGTAATTAGGATTATTTTATGAACTCTATGTTGATTATTAATTTCCTTTTATCTATTTAAAATATGGAAGATATTATATGATTCGAGATATTTCAATTAAATCCCTTTCCTACAGATATAAATTTGAATTTATTTAATTCAATACTAAATAAAAAACCTCAGACTTCGAAATCGAAAGAAATATTGAAGAAAACCAAATAAGAACTAATGATAATTTCACCAACAATCTCTTTCATTATCATTGTTGGATTTATTACATTTAAACAAAGTACAATTTATATATTTGATCCATTTCTGATAATCGAATTAATCAAAACATTGTTTATAAATATCATCAACTTTATTTGTTTACACTTTCGATGAAAGAAACTATTCCAGAAAAATAGTTCATAAAAAATAAAATTTCATAGAATCTTAAAGTCGTCAACTGAACTTGATAGTTACGGGCTTGAATGTAACTTTCCTTATTATCTTTTATCTTCACATTCTCAAAATTGTCTTTCACTATTTTTATTCTTCATGTTATTGAATACAATCGATGTGCTCAAAATATTGTTTAGTTGTGTACAACTATATGCAAATACATTTTATCGCGATTGATGACTCATATTATCATAAAAACTCAATACGTATACAATCTTAATCCAACAGAAGAGAAAAAAGCATATACAAGCTTGATGATATGCGATCATTCAACCATAACTCGCCGTTGTTTCAGTGATCAAATGCACGAAACATGTACTTTCATTTGCTTGACGAACGTCGAAGCAAGTTAATAGGCAAATTTTCACGTATTGAAATTCGAATTTGTTATACATTGTTTTAAAATGCAAGTTAAGTCAAGAATCTCGTATGAGATTACTTATAGGCTACAAAATAGCTTACAAAGTGTATGAATACCTTAATAATAAATTTATACGAGAGAGCTCCCATATATTTTGCTTGAAGAACGAAGATAAAGAGACATTGATTATTGTTTGACAAAAAACACTAGCAAACATTCTTTATAAATATAAATTGCTAAAAAACAACGTTGATTCTAACAAATATCAAAACAAAGCGTCTAATTTAGCTTAATTATTATTAAAAAATTACAAATTGCTTATGTAAATATTGGCTTTTGTAATGCAAATATGTTTTTAAAAATATTATTATCCATTCCTATCACTTATTTGAAATAATTTAACGAATGAAACATCAATGACTTCAAAATTTATTGCTAATGTTTGAAATAAATTATATTGCAAGAAAAAAAACTAGCTTTATGTTTAAAATATTGTGACTAAATACAATAATGATGAAATTTATTTTGAACAGTATTATGCGTATAAAGCTTGATTTAATGAATGAATATAATAAATAAAAAGATTAATTCATTATTCAAACAATAATTTCGTCGTTATCTTTTATTGTGAAATAAGTTTCGTAAGTAAACATACGAAAAACAGACAAGATTGATGTATAAACTCTCAGCAGGCAAATTGATCAGTTTTATCTTCTTTTCATTTCGTAGCGAGCAAAATTTGCTTGTGTTACACCATGATATGATTTAGCAACAGCGTATTCTACTCATATAATTCTAAATAACAAATACTCTTCTTCTATTCTTTCGAAATAAGACCGTGTTCTGGTTGAATACACAGCTTACTTTAATTAGTAATTCTTTTCTTTCCTTTGAAATAACGTCGTGTTCTGGTTGACCACTCAGCATACTTTAGTTGGTAATTCTTTTCGTTCCTTCAAAACAATGTCGTGTTCTAGTTGATTACACAACATACTTTAGCTGGTAATTCTTTCCTTTCCTTTGAAATAAGACCGTGTTCTGGTTGAATAAGCGCCTCTGCCAACCGATTGTATATATACCGATCGATTTTCTATCAATCTACACTCAACCTCATATCATCACTCAACAGCAAACAAATGCAATCATTTTGTATACCCATTTTGATTATGGCTCTGGCTGTAATCATTACTGTGCATCCGTCGAATGCAAGAGACTCCTCTTATTTTCAAGCATCACGTCGACATATTGATCGGGATCAACTTAAGCGTATGCTGATGAATTACGTATCACGGAATGCCGTCGAAGAATCAGACGAAGATAATGATTTATTACAGAAGCGTGATAATACAGGTATGTTTCTTCTAGTCATATATGGAATTTTTCGTTTCCTAAGAAATAATGAATAATTACCGAGGGGAGGGGGATGTTACCAGATTTTCGCCATTAAGACTGTTGTTCATAGCACATTGGTTAGCGATACTAATGATTGAATTCTGAGGGATCTGCTGGTCGAAGTGAAGTAGATAGAGGCATATTAACTTGAGATTGTAGGCGTGTGGATGGTACGAATACGAACTGTTGACTATACATTTATACTGTAGAAAGATACTCTCTCATTTTATATCTGTATACTACAGATTATCCATGCCATATAATATTTCTTTTTATAGTTATTCCTTGGACCCAATTATCAAGTGCCGGTTGGGTGGAATGTTATTGGCTTTCAAGTGTATACGATAAAACAACAACGGACGCCTGTAAACAGGCTTGTCTTGGAGTAACTGATTGCAATGCAGTAAACTTAAGGCACAGTGAACACCGATGTGATTTCGAAAAATGCACACCAGGCACACAAAAAGTCAATGCTGATGCCGATCATGAGGCACATATCATGACAAGCGCACGTGAGTACTGTTTCTGTGCAGATGCATAAGAGAAACATAATATAAGGATTTGAGATTTAATGTCTTTGTTATTTAATCATATTTAGTTTGTAAATACTTGAGATCATCAAATCTCGCGATAAACTCACACCTACACCTACCCACAATTAGTACTTAAGCATTGCAAATAAAACATAAGGATACTATAAAGGATGAAAATGGGCAATGTGGGCTTTAGTATAGGATGAAATGATGCATTCTTCAATGAAAAAAGAATTAATGAGACACAGACATCTAAATTTGATGTCATTGAGCGATAAAACATAGTTTTGAGAATGACGATATATGTTGAAGAGGTTTATGTCAGGAATAGATCTTCCAAATCTCATTGAATAATGCTGGCTTTCATGATATGAATAGTTGACAATCTTTTGAACAGGAACCTATTATAGTCCCTATCTATTAACATTGTTTGCATAGTCTTTCAGACTATTCTTCGTTTAGTTAGCTTATGTCAAGGAACGCTTCGTGAATCCACGTACACTTTGAAAAAAGACAGTACAACAATAAACTTGAAAAGAGTTTAAACAAGAATTTATGAGACACACTTATAACACATAAGGGCGTATAATATGGATTATCAGATATTCTTATACAGTATAAGGGTACTTGAATATATCAAAAACCTCTTCACATAATCTTACTGAGTCAAGAAATATCTCATAAACTCTGTAATATACTCTTACTGGAGAATGAAATAGCTTTTAAATTCTCTTATATATTCTTACTGAGTACCCAAATATCATCCAAGCCGTGTTATATACTCATATAGAGACTGATGATACGTTTTTGTGAAACATTTATACATCTAAAATGAATGTGCGAAAGAATTATAAAGTACTCAGAATTGATGTATGAACATCTTACAAATCATTTCCACAACTATTTCTAAGTATATGAATGTCTAAAAGACTTTTTCTTAATGTTTTTTAGCGCAATACGAAAATAGTATTTTTCATTTATATAGGCAGAAATATTGATTTTTCTATGGGCAGAAATAGATAAAAAGAAAGTGACTGTTATTAGTATCCTGGTTATAAGAAATCAAAATGATTTTTTTGAATGATCTCATAGAAGATGAGTAAATAGTATATTTAATTTAGTATGAAGAAAAATATTTTCTCTATTAAAAGAGACAAAAATACAGTTTCTTTATAATTGCTTGTTCTACGTTAAGAATAAGAATATTCTGTTTCACAGTACATTGCAAGAATTCTTTTCCATATCCCATTTAAACCGAAAAAAGAATTCCGTCTATTGAAGCAGTGAGATATACGAAAGAGACATAGCCAGTTTTTCTCTAAAGATGAACAAAAGGTACAGTGATTATTTAAAAGTCATTGTTATAACAAGAAGTACTGTCTGGTTTAATGAAAGGTAGAAGCGAACATCCACTCTCTAACTTAAGTGCAAAGAAAAACCTGTTTCTTACATTATATCAAACTCGTAGCGATAGAGGAAAACTAAAAAGACATGACACGTCTTCTGATTATGAAATAAAACGGCTATAATGGTAATCCATATAAGAATTTTCTGAGAATAGAAGGATCACTTTAGCTCTTATTGACTCCATAGAATACAACACAAAGACACGCATAATAGTTAGATAAGGTCTTAAACTGGAGAAATTATGTCTTTTCTCTCTCGTATCTGAATTAGAACAGGTCAGATATTCATATACGATTTATTGATGAATGACCCTATAAGATACTATGATTCAATCTCTCTTTGCATAGTTATACTCAAAAATGTTTTTTTTTTGGTTTCAGTGAATATTCACAACGTAAAGGATGGCGATGAAACTGATGTTGATTGTGGTGGATCATCCGGCAAGAAATGTGCTGTTGGCAAAACATGTAAAGTTGATGCAGACTGTGATAGTGCAGTGTGTTCTACTAATGGTGTCTGTCAGCGTATGTATCATATAATCTATTCTTCAAAACTTATATGTATATAGATGTGCTGAATAGTTCTTTCGTGTTCTGATTGTTTAAATAATAATGGAGAAGCAGATGTAAAAACATTCAGAAATAGAAAAGCCGAAGAGAATTTGTTGTTATTGACATTTCAATGAGAGTTTATATTTGTACATCTGTACATCAGCTACCATACATGATACTCTTTCGATTATCTGCTTATATGAGTGATTAGAGTCCTATAAAATTGGAAATTACATAATGATTCACAATAGCAAGAGTGCTTCAAAATCATTATATTTTATAATACACTATTCAAGAACAGATTTTTTTACAAAACCAAAAAGAGATCTTTCCATGCATACAGAAGAGTATAATTTTCTAGTTTCGTAGAAGACTTCGTACGACTGGGTGAGAATGTAATTGAGTATCAGTGAATTTGAAAAAGAAATAGTGATACTCGCACGTTCACACCAAGTAGGAATTGATTGAGCAAGGTTTATCTAAAGAACAAATATGCCTAGGCATGACTATAGTTCAGTATTTTCGATAAATCAGTTAGTTACTTCTCATCTGTTTTAGCAACGAGCTGTCGAAACAATAAAAAAGACAATGGTGAAACAGATGTTGATTGTGGTGGAACATCTGGTTGTGACAAATGTGGTGACGCAAAGAACTGCATCGCAAACACAGATTGTGTGAACAACAAATGTCAAAATAACCAATGCACCGGTAAGCGACTTTGCTAGTCTTTTTTTGATAAAAGAGATGGACATATAATAAGGGAAATTAGTATTTTAAATTTTTGTACGAGGTAGCCATACGAACCGTAAGAGTTGGCAGGTTTTGATATACTGTGCAATTTTATGACGGTACGGATTGAAGTCTATGTGAGCTTCAAGATCTTTCCCAGGCTGGCTTTCATATTATTTCTTGTGTTCTTTGTAAGGATCGGTAAAGTAAAGTAAGATACTTGTTTGTATTGTTCAGTTTCGAGAAGGTTAGTGGTCCGGCAAGTTTATAATTAAAAATAAAATATTATTATCGCAATCTGTGCAAAAATTTAAAATGCGAAATACAGTGAAACTGATCATGTTTCGAAAGAAAACGAAAGTGTGATTGTGGTTGTTCGCTTATTCAATAGCCACACCCGAATCTACATCTTCATACGATAAAATACGGTTCACGAAATGTTTAAAAATATGTTCATACATCAAGTATGAGTATATTATAAAGTCTTTACAAAATTATTTTTCAAATGTAGAAACATTTCCTAAAACTTGTCATAAACTCTTTTTCACTTGATAGGAGTGAGATGTTATCGTTACAGTATTAGGTAACTTGTGTCAGAGGACGAGCCAGACTAAATTCTCACATGACTTAATCTGTTCGAATGTGATGACTGTATAGATATTTGTCATGAGTTAGATTTGATTGAAAATATGCTCTAAACACTTTGAAAACACGAGTTACATATTGTATCCTTTTTCACTGAAAACCCTTTTGAAGATACTAAATAGCTAATGAAAAATCATAGAGATTCCGTGATATATTTGAGATGAGGCTCCGTCCGATAAATAGAATCTGTTGAGATCAGAAAAGGTCTAAAGAAATATCTCCGGACGCTGCCATTTTGGAGATATCATCATAGCAGCGAACTTGTGATCGTTAGTGCAATGTCTGTAGGAAATCACACAAATGAGTTTTGACTTAACACTTTGTTCACAGACAGCTCTTGAGATCACTAGGACGTCTTAAAAAATTTTAGCTAAAAATATTGTTGCTTATACATATATAAAACGCCTGAAAGCTAATGACATCTATAGAACAGAATTGACAGTTAAATTTATAACAGATCCGATATCACGAGAAGTAATTATTCCTTATGGTTGACTTTTTTTAAAGACATTCTAACAACCTTAAAAGTTAACTACAAAATAAGTCTTAAGTGAAAATTCATTTACTCGATTTTTCATTAGTGTCGTACCAAGGACCAAAACTACACTAGAACAGCGATGATTTTAGAAGAAAAAGAGCGAAATGAAAAGTCAGCTTGTATATCCTACGATACTTGAGAATCGCTAAGAAGATGCATTTTCATATTGTAGAAAATATATTTATTAGGAAACATAGGAATAGTGTATGAGGGTTAAACACTCGTGCCAAACATGCTAATGAGATGCATGAATAAGAAAGCTGCCTACAAAAAATAGTGATGATCTTACTCTTTTCTTTTCTCTGAACAGGCGCCAACGGTCTCATCATCGGTATTGACACAGGTGGAAAACTCTGGACACGTGCCACTTTGAAC